GAGAGAGAGAGAGAGAGAGAGAGAGAGAGAGAGAGAGAGAGAACCCTCCCCGCGCCCGACAATTTTGTTGTTCCTTTTTCTTTTTTCTTTTCTTGTTTTTTGAAGTCGTATCTCGTTTTTTTTTTTTTTTTGGGTTATTTTATTTTCTAAAGAGAAAGAGCTCCTACCGGTCCTTCAACTCCCCGACCCCCGAAAGTCGCGGCGCGTTAACGGCCGCAACTTTTTTTTATAGTTGGGCGAGGTACAGGTGGTTTAAATAGCTGCCAGAAACTACCCCCCTTCCTCGTTCTATGGCATGGCGCAGGGTGCCAAAGGGAGTCACTGGGGGGCACCAGTGGTTCTTCCTTTCGCCTCCTCACCCACCCCTCTATCTAGTCCCTACTATACCCAATGTTAACTACGAAACAATCATATTCTAATCTCAAGGGCCAAAGGGTGTGGAGGAAAGGGGTCCGGAAAGTCTGCTGCTGGCCTTTTGGTAGTTTCTTGGCCGATCTCCATCCAGTTCTTAAAGAGGAGGCAGTAGTCCCGAGGGGGGTTCCTTTCCATGCTGTCCTCACGAAGCTCCCTGTCTGCTAACTCCCCCTCTAGCCATCGCACCTCTGCCACCCATCCCCCTTGTTCCCCACCTAGCCAATCCTTGGAAAACCTTGTAATTCGTTCTCTAATGTCTTTTCTTCTGTGAAGGGAATTGAGAACCCTTTTGGTTCCTTCCCACTGACAAGAAGGTTCTAATTGAAAATGTTGTTTGAAATGTTCCCGCCACTCCTCTCCTTCCACTCTCACATGATCAAGGACCAAGGTGCAATGCTGCCACCATAGAATCTAGAGCATTGCCCATCTGCCAAGGTGAAACATGTTCCTTACAAAGGTGTCGCTTTGGACTGTCAGACAGTGTCCAAGTAAGAGAGCTCTCCAGTCCCAAGGCCACGGAAATCCGGGGACCATTTGTCCCCAAATCCTGTCCCACCACCTCCATATGAGCATTGCAGTTGGGCATTGAAGGAAAATGTGCTCAATTGTCTTCGCTCTTTTCCGTGAGGGGAAGTTTCGGGTGCAGCGCAAGCACCATGGGAGGACCTTGCCTTGTTGTTCCAATGTGAGTGGTCAATCAACCAATTATTTGTCTGTAGGCAGCGATGTATTATCTGCCACTGGAGTGACGTGATCTTGGCCGGTTTGGTTTTGCAATTGTGGAACCAACGTATGGGGGTCAGGAGTTGTTTGTTTATGTTGAAATGTCTTTGCCATCTGTCTACCACTATATCCTTTAGAATCCGTCGCGGTCGAAGCATCCTATAGGTTGATTTCACTGACAGTTTAGATAGCTCTATGTTTTTGGGTGCGCCTGTTATAGGGGGTCTGTCGGGGCTCCACACCCATTCCTCAGGGTGCAGGGGTAGCTTCTCAATCGCAGTCCCAGGGCGATAGGCTCGTCGCTCCTCCCCCTTCGCCCTGACTCTCATTCGGTGTACCTGCCTTTTCCCAATCCAGACGAAAGGGTCCCCACTTCCTGTACCTGGCTTTGGCTAAGAGCAGTCTGAGGACTTATGAAAAAATTCAGAAAAAATCCAGGCAAATTTAGAAAAAAGTCCTTCGAATGCTCAGAATCCCTGGAACCCCCCACAACACACTCTAAAATTCTCTAATACTGTCTAATTCCTTGTCGGGCTCTCCCAGACCTAATGCCCCAACCCTGCTAGGTTATAGGGCAACACAACTCACCCCAGCTCCGGCCAGCGTTATCCCGACAACAACCCTTGGTTTTCCCAGGAATGTCCGACCCAAGGCATCCCCAGATCTCTCTATCAGGCCTCACCCTCCTGCCATCGACATGTTACAAGGCAACCCCCCAGCTCTGGCCAGCGTCGTTCTGGCATCGAAAAAACGCAGGTCCATGAATTAAAGAGCAACAAAGAAGCTTATAATTAGTTGCAAGAAGTACCCTGAATCCTAAGACATTCTCAGGAGAACCGCCACCTACCATTTGATAGTAATTATGAAAAACAGAGAGACAAAAGTCAGAAATGAAACCACCACCAATCCAACTCAAACCCTCACTACAGGCGAGAAACCGCCACTCAGGCTTGCAGTCCTCGTACCAGAAGTTGCTAGTTCTCACACCCCCCTTGCTAGGGTTACAAGGCAACACAAACTGCCCCAACACCAATCTAGCTGTTTTCTGACGGACAGGAAGTATCTTCCTCCCTCAACAACTTCCTTAGCTGCAAAACCCCCTACCGGTTACAGGGTCACCGCACCAGGCGTCAGCTACGTTGAACGAGGTAGTTATGCCTTCCACCCTCGACATAACTCCAATGGCCTCAGGCTCCTCTTGGTCACACAGCCACTGCTCCAGCACCGACCAATGTCGCCCCACCCCGTCCTTCTAGTAGACTTACCCCCCTGAGCCACCCTTCCTCTACTGCACGAGCCCACCCAAAATTCCTTCCAAACCGTACTTCCGACTTTCACCTTCCCATTTGAAAAAGCAAAAAGGAAGAAGGGCCAGAACTAGAACCACTAACCATCCATCTCCTACCCTTACCACAGATGAAGGACACGCCAACCAGGCTTTCAATCCTCGTACCAGAAATCATCAGGTCTCGACTACCCCCCTGCTAGGGTTACAAGGCAACACAAACTGCCCCAGGGCCGACCTAACTGTTTTTGACGGACAGAGAGTGCCTTCCCCCCTCGACATCTCTCTTAACTGTATGGCCCCTCAAAAGGTTACAGGGTCACCGCCCCGACAACGACTACGTCGGGCAAGATGGTTACGCCTTCCACCCTTGGCATAACTTCAATGGCCTCAAGCTCCCTTGGCCACAGAGCAAATGCTCCAGCACCGGCCAATGTCGTCCCACCCCGCCCTTCTAGTTAGACTTACTACCCTGAACCGCCGATCCCTCCTCTGAGTGACCCCCCCCCACTTCCTTCTTGCCTCTACTTCAACCTTCCCCTTTTTGTTTACAAGACCAAGACCAGATCATAAGTAAGGCTAATTACTTGAGACAAATAGGGAACCAAACTAGGGGATCGATTTTGATGTCGAAGAGGACTTACAACTATGATTTCCAGAACCCCAAGGTTCGGAATCGCTCAGACAGTAAATCAAGAAATTACAGAACAGAAAAAATCGCCGCTAAATAGAAAAACATCTCGTCAATCAATTGTGTGTGAGAGGGCGAAGACAATTGGCCCGTATTGAAAAGTTATGAGAAGCTCTTTTCAAAATCGTACTTAATCCTATTAGGGGATATAAAAAATTAATAAGATCACTTACGACAGTAAATCAAGAAATTACTAAACAGAAAAACAAATCGACGCTAAACAGAAAAACACCTCGGCAATCAATTGTGTGTGAGAGGACGAAGACAGTTATAAGAAACTCCTTTCAAAATTGTACTTAATTCCTATTAGATCACAACTATTACGCAAAACTTCCTAATAGAAATTTCCACCCTCAACCATAGAGCTTTCCCAAAAAACTCCTCCCCCCTTTCCTCGACCCCCACCTACATGCCACCCTTCCCCTCAAACCCTACCCCACCATCTTCGGGGAAAGAGGACCCCCCCCCTCCCACTGTTAGCCACTAAGCATCGAGGCAATGCTAACACCGAAGACAACAACGACCATCTCCAATCCTCCAGGGATCAGAAGACAGTGCGACTCCACCTCACCAAACCCGTCAGTGAGTCGTCGCAGGAGGTTCGAACCCTACTAGACATTCATTCACACCAAAATTGAGGAAGAGGGGGGAGATCAATCCCATCGCCCAAGCTCTACCTCTACCCCACTCAACATCTTCAACTCAACCTCGAAAAAAATACCAGAAAAAAACTGCGCTCGCCAGACTAGCAGCTCTCAAGACGGAGAAGGCCGAAGTCGTTTCCTAAATAGAAGCACTTACCTGGACGAACGAAGCACCCTAGTTACAACCTTCTGCTAAGTCGTCACCCTCAACCCCTTCCTATTGGCGAAACTTTGCCTCTTCCATCGCGCCTCTCCGCTCGCTGCTACTCCCCATCGTTGTTCGTCGACAAGCGCCGCATCCTCTTCCTTCGTGCCTCTCCGCTCACTGATGCTCCCCGTT